TTGCCCCTATTCGCCCACGAAAACTGGGGCTGCCCGCGCACTCGATAATCGGAAATTTACACCCCTGTCCGGTAGTTACCGGACGCTCGTATCGGCACGTAGAATCGACGGCGAACCGACGCGAAGTTATTACATGCAAATTGCAGTACGTGCGAACTAGACGGTCCTGTACAGTTTTCGAGTCTTCGGACGAGCAGCCGTGGAATACTTTGACGCTGATCCGAATTTCAATCCTCTGGCGAACTTTGTTTCTTGGTTCGCCTTTCTGTCCACTTGGAGTTACTCCTATTAACCCTTTGCACTCGGACGTTTCTTACTGGAAATATTTAACATTTCTTTGCGAGGCGGAGACGATGTTCTTTGGAACTAATTCGAAGAGGAATCGCTAGTACATTGAGGAACAAAGCTGTATTATTCTAATGTTTCGCGTATCGAGGCATTATAGAAAGTTTAACGTTAAATATCGCATTCTATAGTTTTACTGTGTCAAATCAAGTGGTGACTGAGAGTCACCGCTCGAGTGCAAAGGGTTGCTTGTATGTATGCTTCCTTTCTTTCAGAATTCTTGAGAAAAATTCAACTCCTTGTTACGTACTTTTCTAGATACTTTCAGTATCCCTGTATCAAAGAAATGACGAATTTCTCAGTAGAAATTTATGTCTCTAACACTACTACCGAGCATTTAATACGATTAATATGCAATTCCTATAAAAATTGTAACAATAGATTATTTTTGGTTTCTTCAGGCGTTCGTTATAGTATTCAAGTGAAACTATTTATTTTCAAAATCATTTCGAATATTCAATGCTTTGAAGATATCGATGATTGCGAAACAGGAAAACTGAAACCATTTTGACTGGTACGGTAGTCTAGTGCTAAGCAACAAGTGTACGCTTGAACGGCCCATGAAGAAGCATATAAAAAACATGCTCGACGGAGTCGGACATATATATTTACAACACCTACATGGTTTGCAGGGTTGTTTCAACCTCTTAGGCACGGCTGAATTTTGCACGGGGCTGTTTTCTACGCGAGTACATTAGAATGAAGCTTTTAACGATTAAATTCTATTTTTTCTGAAAGATATGATACACATAATTCAACTTTAACAATTTACTTCAATAACTAGTAATACAATTGGGTATGATCTATGATATATCGATAGCGACGTAGCCACTACAGTGGCGCGTCGTGCCTAAGAGGTTAAAGTCGTTAGTCAGTGCCCGAATAAGCAATGGAATCCGAGAATCGCGTTTGCATCGGAACTCGCGTGTCCCTCGGAGCAACTGTCCCGGGCAGCCGCGCGCGATTAGCCCGAGGCGTGTTCCGTCCTTCTCTATCGAGCGACGAAAATAAAAGCCTCTCGCGGCGGCCGGCCGGCCGAAACTCCGAAAATCGCATTTCCCCGCGAGCGCGCTTCGTCGGGGACGCGTACACGCGAGGAAGAAATAACCGGAAGATAACAGGGATCCTTCAGGATCACGGAATCACGCCGGGGAACTTGGCAAATTGAATTAGAAAGTTGCCCGGTCCCTCGGCCGTCGAGTGTCTCGTTTGTCTCCGGCAGACAGCCGCGGTTTCGAATTAGGTGTGTACAAGGAAGGCGACACCCGCCGACTCCGCGCATTTCGCTCCGGCAACTTCTGATAGTGCCTCGAAACCTGGGGGAACTGTTGCAATCCCCGTCGCGCTGGCTCCCCGCTCGGCCGGCGTCTTTCGTTCCCGGCCTAACCGGCGTCCGGACGAAAGCGTGTCGCGCGGATCTCACGCGCGACTACCTTCCGACAATCGAGAAACTTTGCTCGGACTACGAGTCGCTGGGTAAGAGTGTCGTTTCGGGTAGAAAGTGTCCGTCGAAATTGTCGGCTGAAAGAATGGCGGTAGAGGAATGAGATAGAGGAACCGATTCGGGACAGTTTTCGAGAGTATTGACGAATGTCGACATTTCGGCGAGATGAGATGTTCATATTTGGAAGACTAAGTCGCTGACAAGTGATTTAATTAGTCGACAGTTAGAGATCAGATTCCTTTTTTTCTATTGATTAAGCGATTGATAATCCAGTTTCTTCTATTGAAGGTTTTATACATTTCTAAAAACCTCCGCAAAGGGTTAAGCACTCTAGTTAGATAGTAAGCTGAAGTTAACGTTACAGTTAACCCTTTGCACTCGAGAGGTGACTCTCAGTCACTACATGATTCGGTACAATAAAACTATGAAGTTGAATGTTTAATGTTAAATTAAAGTTTGCATTGCTACGTGAAATACTTAAATAAAGCACCTCTGTCAATTCATCTATGAATTATCGTTAAATTAGTTTCAAACAATACGACCTACATCTGGTCAGAAAATGTTGAATATTTCTATTGAAAAACTTTCGAGTGCAAAGGGTTAACGCTAACCTGAAGTTAAGGCTAGCACCATAAACGAGATATGTAGATTCGTTGAGTCGTTACGACACCGTTCCCTGTGATCAATGAATATTTATCACATGGACGCACAGAATTTGCATGATTTACGGAATCGACCAAATTTCCATGTAGTTATTGAAAAAGACTATCTAATCGTTCGCTCGTTTGTCTTTTCAGGGAGCCTAGAGATCGGCCCTCACGCAGCGTCCAGCCGCAGAGTGATCGTAGTCTTGAGTCCCACATCGTTGGGCAACGTTTGGAACGAGACGAACGTCGGCGCTGTCCTGAAGCAACTGTCATCGCTCGCCACGCAGACGATAGTGATAGCAACGAAGCAGCTGCCGAACGTGACGACGATCGCGAAACGATCGAGCAGAGGATGCAACGACTCCGGCGAACTGTCCCTCGACCGCATGAAAATCCTGACTTGGAACGAAGACGGTGGTACCACTGGCGGTGCGGACAACCGAAAATTCTGGTACCACCTTCGGTTGGCAATGCCGCCAGTCCGGCCAATCAGCAACGAGACCGGCTGCCAGTCGGTCGCCATGATCGTCCAAGCGAACGGCAAATGCGGCCAGCAGAAGGCGAGATCGCGCGAGAGCCTCGAAGTTCTAGTTTAAAGCCGCGAGAAAATCGGTGGAACGTCGACTAATCACTTGGTTCCTCCGTTTCTTCCTTTCCTCGAGCACCTCACGATGTGCGCGCGAGTCGCGTCGCGAAAACCATCGAGATCCTCGTGATTCCCTCCCTCCGGGAACGGGAAAACCGCGAGATCGCGATGAATAACCGAAAGCTGGTCGCTGGAACCGCTCGAGAATCACGAGCGACTGTCATGGCGACGCGTTTAGCGTGTTTCTAGAATCTCTTTAAGACGTTGCCCGAAATTCTTCGGCGAAAAGCCACTCCGAGTCGCAAAAGTGTACGCGCGTGCTCCGCCGACGTGCTCGACGACTTCGAAGCTTCCCATTGTTCCAGCCACCTCGTGTTCGAAACGTTAACTCGTATAAGGTAAAGATCGCAATGTCGCGCTTTGATCCGTTCTCGACGGAAACGTTACATTTCCGAATTACATTTCGGAGTAGATTACAGTCGCCGCGCTCGTTCGCGTTGTATAACCCGTTGTTAAATGTTCACGCGGAACGAGCGCAGCCGAAACCAATGGACGTTCCTCGAAGTTTCTTAAGATCGAAAACGCCGACTACGCTTTCCCGTGAACCGCTGCACCGCAGCGTTTAGAATTCGACACGAACACCCCATAACCGTTGATTCCTTGATCCGGAGAACGGGGCTAAATGTTATGCAACCCGCCGGAAGTTCCGGTATCGAATCTCTTGAAAGTTTTCTTCAGCCACGGTCGTTCGCTTTTAACCCCTTATGGCCTGAAAGCACTTCAAACTACCATTTCCAGAGAAATCGCTGGCGCGAGTCAAATTTCAGATCTTATTTTTTGAAAAATTTCATTCAACCGATTCATACTTATTTTCAAACAAACAACGGTAACTCAGGGCATAATGGGTTCAAGGTGGACGCACTGTTTTCGAATCACGAGAGATTCGATCGCTAAGAAAACGTATTCTCAGCTCAACGATTCCCGTTAGTTCCGCGTCGAATTTCAAGTAATTGCGACCGACTTTTCCCGGTAATAAAGGCGTAATATTTTAATACCTTTTTTTTTTACGAAAAGCTAGATTATCTTGTTTTGACGCTCCTCGACGCGCGAGGCCGAGGAAAGTTGCGAACTTGGCATGGAAGTCACGTTCGATTTGAATCGCCGATAACAGCGAGAAGGGTTTTATCCGCGGCGAGTTCGACTTTTAAAAGTCACCGTCGGTAACTGTTGCCGACGGTGACCGACCGGTTAGGTCTCTCTTGCGACAGAGACAGCGATTCTCTGTCACGCACAAAATATCTTCCCCGAATCGTTCGGGGACGTACGGTGCGCTTCGCCCGTGCAGAATTCGAGAAAAGAGGAAACGGACGAACGAGAACAGTCTTCCGTCTTGCGTAGCTAAATTTTCGAGCGGTATTGTCCGCGAGTGCAGTGGCGCTACATCGAGATCGATGAAACCCTAGCGTATACCGATCGGATCTACTTCAGCGAACAGAAACGCTTAAATTAAAGCAAGACAAAGAACGAGTAAAAACACATACACACACACACACACATACACACACAAAACGAGAAGAAAGTGTATCACGTTGCTCGTGTCACGCAATCGCCGATTGCACGGGCTTTTCATTCTCTGTTTGTATATATTGGATACATATCGGTGCTTCTTTATTTATTTAGTTAGCCGTATATTTTATTTATAACCGTTTAGGTTCACCGGTTATTTGTAATGCGCCCCGAGACGCATTCTAACGAGCCCCGAGTCCTGGGCCTCGCGTTTTTCGCCGCTCGCGTGTTTCATAGTGTTTTTACCGGGCGCCCACGACTCTTAACGGATACGTGAACATTTTATACTGTTTTTGTATATACTTGTCAAAGGGGGGAGGATATATTGATATACATACATATATTTATGTATATAATATATATATTATATAATTATTCTATCCCTCTATCGGCCGAATTTCGTTCCGCGATTGTAAGATTTATGCAAAATTAATGTCAACGTACGAACACGAATTAATGTATTCGATAGTTTTAATGATTTTATTAAAGAATGTATCCGGTAACTTCGAGGTTAATGACGTTGAACGTAAACTGTACGAAAGTTTCAGTTGATTGATATTCGTCATTTTGCTATAGAAAATTAAATCAATTCAATCCAGTGCATTGATGTGACTTCAAAGTCACACGGGCCTATAGAGGGATATGTATATATTAGTATATTAATTAATATATATATTATATATATCGTCGGTTCAACTTACAATTAGAGGAAAACTACGCGACGCTCTTTTCAGTTGCGTGGTGAAGTTTTTAATCATAATCGTCTTTCTTTCATATTCCGCTTGTAGAACGATTGGACTCCGGATATTTATGCGGACGTCAATTCCCGAAAGTCCATTAAAAAGCGCCGAGGGGTTGTAGGGGCAGTTCTTCGATTCGAATCGAGGATCGCGGGATATCGGTGGTTACGTAATAATTTTATCAGATATTCGCTACGTTCCTTGTAATCGCGCGGCGCGTAAATGTCCGCAGTCTGACGATAAACGGCACTTACATCGACAAGGGAGACGCGATGTATTTGTTCTTTCACCGAAGACTGCAGAACGTTCCCGCGGTTTCGCTGAAATCTGAAGTTGAACGAACAGTACATGCACGGCGTACATACGCGCGTCCGTTTTTCTACAAGGTGGGTTATCAGTTGCGTCCACGCGACTTACGAAAGACTCAAGGTGAATCGTGTAACCCGCGCGAACCGTGTGACGCAAGCGATAATCCTGTTGCCTCTAATACTTAAGGTGATTGATCATTACGTGTAATTGTATACAAGGTGGCCCGTTTTAATCTACCGTACATTTCTCTCGCGCCTCCACCAACCGAACTACATGTAAAATACATACATACATACATACATTACATACATACATATATACAATAAACGAATATATACATATACATATATATATATATATACATATATTGTACCAGCGTGCGATAACGTCCGCGTCAACAATAGATTAAGATGGGTTACCGTTAAGCCACGCGGTAATTATATAACAGAGCAAAACGCACGTCGCCGTTGTCAAAATAAGAAAACAAGCGATAATAAATATCGACACGTAAACAACAACGATTGTCGTAGAAAGAACGAAAATGCCTGAAATCTTCTCGGAATTTTCTTTCGATTTTTAT